ATATCCTTGCGCAAACGTTTATACGTACGTGTGCACAATCCTATTATGTATTAGGTACTTTATTTTGATGGCGGACATAAATTTAGCTTCGGATCGCGGAAGCATAAATTGTTTCGTAAGGAGGAATTGTGCCTGACAAAATTCTTCAAGCGTCTCGAGAGGACATTTTGTAGGGAGTCGCAAGGGACGAAGGCGTGTTTAACACTTGTAAAATATGAGATGCAACCAGAGACACAGTTGCTCGGGCCGACGTCCGGAGGGTGACGTTTCTCCAAACATCGTATAATCGTATTCACGTGGACCCCCACGACAAAGGGGAAGCGCGCGATCGAAGTCTCGCGCGGGAGAATTTCGTAGGAGCGTCCGGGGCGGTTCCGCGGTGACTGAAGAAGTTTATAATCCATGACGTTTCCGGCTCTGCGAGGGAGCGAAAGGGGAGCTTCTCCTTACATCTCCCGCGCTCGGGCAAGGATAACGAAGCGCCTCAGATTATGGCCAGCTGCATCCGCGTGAATCCTGAGATGCGCGGCGACAGCGACGGGTATATATACGCACGAGTGTACGCGCGAGTGCGAGCCTATGATCATTTTTTAAAATGGTCACCACAAGCCGGGATGCCATTTGCGTTCGTTGGAAGCACGTCCTTTTCTTCGGGGACGGGGACGATAAACACTCAGATTATCTGCATCCTGCTTAACGGAGGGACATCTTTCGTTGGAGCTGTGCGTGCCGGTCGGGCCGACCCGCGAGAGAAATGCGTTGCATTCCATTCAGTGAAGCACTTGTACACCAACACACAGGTCGTCCGTCGGGGTGACATGAGTACGAGCTGGCAGCGTCGTATATTCGGAAGAATATTTCCGTCGGTGCAGTGCGCGCGCTCATGCCAGCGCGAGTCACAGCGACGCAACGCCGCACGAAATAAATGCATCTAGTGTTGAGATATATTTTATCTCTTAAAAATATGTGCCTGTTTTCTTCTTTTATCAGATCCGGATCCGCCCATATATTTTGTGAGCGTCTGGATAGCTTTTAGGTCGATAATAGTTAATTGTTCTTTGTCAAAGGTCGAATTCAACGAGAAAGAACCCGTTATCTCTGATATCTCCATATCGCTATTTCGGCGCCGGTCACATTCGGCATTAGGTTTTATTTCAACTCCTAAGACAGCAATTGACAGATCGAAAGTATATACGTGTAAGCGACGTATATAGTCACATTTAAGGAGAAATATTACCATTGAGAGGAAATACGTTACTGTACAAGAGAAACTCGCTCTGAAAATCCCACGCGCACGCGAACGAAACTCAATTTCGCGAGTTTTCGCGGAAACATTCGTTAGTACATTCGTCGGGATTATGGCTACACACGATATCCTCGCCAAGCCGTTTCCATACTCCTCCTATCGTCGGCGAGGTTCTCGGATTTTTCGAATATTCCATCAACGTACGGAAGTCGTATATTACGAACCGAGAATGTACGCGCCGCGAGGGCCCGAGGCGTGCTTCGCATGTTAGCGATTACTTTTACCTTCGTCCTTTCGTCTTAGCAGGCGGTAAGCGAGCAAGCGGTCCTACCTTTGGCCTGCCCTCCGCGAGTCTCTAGGTCCACCCTTTTTCGTTCCCTCCTATCCAACCGCCGTTCTTTTCCTTTCCCATTTCACGTCTACCTGCATTCTTAGTGTCGAATCAACGGATTGGTAGTCGATTATTGGATACCAAGGGCTTATGGTATAGGTGAACGACAAGTTGACAGTACATCTGTTCACATTGCAGGTTTCGTACGTTGTAACGCGCAACAATGTTAGATTTTATTTATTATTATTGAAGCCAAAACATATCAACGCAGACATGTTTTGTCGTCAATTGCCATCTTAGGAGCTTGAAATAAAATCTAATGTCGAATGTAATCCAGCACTGAAATAGCGATATCGATGCGAATTCGCATTCTTTCTCGTTAAAATTCACTCTTTTGACGAAGAACGATTGTCGACCTAAAATTATCCAGACGCATATCTGATGTTGTTTTTTCATAGAAATGTTCTTCTAAGCGGCATTTAAAAGCTTGAAAGTTTTAAATAATGAAATAATTAAACGATACATATATGATATCAGAGAGCGAGAGATTCAGATGAATAAGATCGCGAAACTGAGTCCATGCGAACAAATGTTAACTTAAGGAAAAATTATTCGTAAATCATTTCGGCTTTTTTTTAAATCCTTTAGTAATAATCCTTTTAGTCGCCTATTTCATTACTTTTTACAGAGCGTCAATTTTTATTTCGTTCACTTTCCAGTTTCTTTCACCTGCCGTTATTTACACAACGTGTAAATCCTGCAATCGCGTAGATCTGGCGCCAATAAGTAGACTAAAATGAAAGATTGACATAAAAGTGACGTACATCTCAGGCGCCGTCTATACTGTCGTGATGGTATTATGGTCTTTCGATTTATGACGTCACACACGCGATAGGATGATTGCTTTTCGCGATGAGTGGATGTCGAGGGGAAACGTCGGACTAAACTACGTGACCAACCAGACATATAGCATGGGGAAGCAAACATTATCAAAGTTACTTTGTTATGAAAATCGTGAACGTGGCATTAGGTTTGAGAAGACACGGTTTCTTAAAGATGAACGATGTTTCTTTCTTCTTGTCGATCAAGGATTTTCTTATTTTATTTCACTAATATGTCTTCTCAATTTTGTTTTATTAATAAAGCATATTATACTTGCTACATTTATAAAACGTTTTTCTCGTATTGATACGTGTTATTGACATTGTTTAACAGCTATATTTATTCTATTAATATTCAAACTCCAAATTATGAATAGCTTACAAATTTCACGAAAATGCATTGCGTTAAATATGCGATAGAACAATTACAGAGACTTTGTAAGTCTATACAATATATGTATATAAATCTTGAAACAAATATCTAATTAAAAATATTAGTGAATTACTGACAGTTAATATATATAATCTATCAGAATTTTAACTGATATAAACATACGTTCGATTGCATCACTTGGCCATTAGAATATACATTCATAAGCGACACGTAACGTTGCTTATATGTCTTTCCGTAATAAATTTCTGTAAAAATATTTTACTACAGGCGCATTATAATATATTCCAATTGGAAACGCAAATAAATGTTAAGTTATATGTTAGCGAACAGCGCGTGCCAATCGTCGTCCGTCGGACAACGTTGAAATGGCGGCGCGAGTCTTTTAATTTAAGGTAACCTTGCTTTTGTTATTTATATTTTATTAAAAGTAATTAAATTGATATTATGATCAAATGCTACTCGTCAGCCGCAACAATGTGATTATCAAAAAATACATATTTTTTAATATTAACTGTACGTGTATTAAATCTCGAAAAAATTAGCATTATTAGAACAAGTATCATTTTAATGAACGTGCGATTTTTCTCTACATAATAATTAAATTATAATATACTATAAGCGATAATAGAATAATAAAATACACAAGTTCGATTTGTACCGAGGCCGTCGGCGTTCTGTCCGACGGCGCTTTGCTTATCGAAGAGATATAAGAATTAAACTTATATTTGTTTGTTTAAAATTTGAATTAACATTGATTTATTATATCTGCATAAAATATAATAAGAATTTTATCACTAGCTATAGTTGCAATGACATAAATACAATTTAGCTAGCCGATTACACGACTAACAAATAAATTATTTAAATATTTAATAATCATTAGTTTTAATCGTTTTATTATGTCTTTAAAACGTGCAGCTATCTGCAGAGAGTTAGGCATTCAGCCTGCCGAAAATATTTCAAAAGATGCGTGTTCCGCATTAGGGGAAGTTGTCAAAGTTCGGGGAAGTTGCGAAGGCCGAATAGGCAATCGAGAAGATCGCTTTAAATCATTTCATTTTTTCACCACTACAAAAAGGATCCTTCCGTCAATACTCCAATTTTTTTTAACGACCCGCGTTTACCGAGGCGAATAGAGATTCAAGGTCCCGTCGCAGTGACATTACGTTGATTTTTTTTTCGTCCATATGTCCTTCCAATGCGTCCTGAGAAACAGTTCTCAGTTTTCGTTTTGACAGCGCGGCGTGCTGACGGCTCTTTGCACGGTCTTTCAACAAAATTTTGTGAATGTTTATTATATGTAAACGATAAAGATTTCCCTGTGGTTCGCAATGTTTGCCCGCGTCGTTAGGTTCCGACGGCTGTTTTGTCGCTTCTTTAGTTTGTCGACAATCGATATTCAGGTAACTCATTTATCGTTAAATTGAAATATTATCACAGGTTAATATTTGTACGTAATTAATTAGATGCTATAATGAACAATACGCTAATGTATACTTATTGATTTATTTGTTAAATACCTATCTTTTATTAAAAATTAATGAGGATATATCAAATATCTAAAAAATGATTATAATTAATAATACAATGTAAAAATATGGCATAAGTTTTAACTATATTTAAAATTATTTTTAAGGGTAGAAGTTGTAAAACCAAAAATCTTTTTACATTAATTGTTCTTTTTATTGTGGAAATTTTTGGATCCAAAAGTAATAAATATTATTATTGAGAATGAAATAGAAGAAAGTTTATTGAATTTAAATTATAGTTGCAAAAAATAAATGATATAAATTGTACACAAGTCGTACACAAAAATTTGTAACGTATTTTTGTAAATGTTCATTGATTAATGAAACTACGCATGGATTTAAAGTACAAATACAAAAATATGTAATACTTTTGACAAATTTGATATGTTTTTACACTAATGTACTTAAATAATAATTATAATAGACGGTTATTATTTTCAGAAGAAAAATAATTAATTATTTTAATAGTTAAGACGTATTTTTTATTGTTTTTCTCAGCTAAGCATAATTTTTATTAATGAAACATAATCTTTACCAATTACGCAGAATTTAGCGACAAATGCCGATTAGACCTCGAGAACATTGGGGCGCGCATATTAATACTTAGTTTTTATTACAGGATTCCTCATGTGGCGAAGAAGAATTATCGCCATTGGTTCACCACCCCACTTGCGGCTTATCAAAGGTAAATGTCTACAATAAGAAATAATTTATAACTCAGCCATACAAAGTAACTGAAGGCGATCGTAGCTAATTACAAAAAAAGAGTTGAACCCACCTGCTCGTCCATGCGAAACAAGAATTACAATATTCTTTAATGACACGGGAATATGTGTGCTATCTAACGTATCTTTAAAATACATGTTAATTAATCAATGCTAATTGGAACATTCTATAAACGATTTAATCGTTATATTTTTTAATTTTGACACTTTTTTTCATTTAATTATCCCAATTACTTATATGAGTAATATCATGTGATATAATTTGAGTGTTTTATACATATATTTGATGAATGAAAAGATGAATAAAAAATAATATAGTAATTTTTCGATAGTTATTGCAATATTTCTGATACATTATTATAAAGTAAGATAATTCAAATAATATTATATGTGTCAATTACAAACAATTTTTTTATGTATGTGTTCAGGCATAAAATAGAAAAACGGTATTATACACAATACAGAAAATAATTCGTTATTAGATTTATTAAACATATAAAAGTATATATTTTATTTTGCTGTATGTACGTATTCATATGTAAATTTATGTTTCTTTTTTAATAATATTATCCATGACTGAAAATAATTCTGAAGGCGTAGATAGACAGAGATACATATGCGTCTTAGTAGAAAGTGCTATTTTGTTGGTTGCAAGGAGAACTTGCAGCGCAATACAGGATAAGACGATTATTCTTTGGAGGAAATTATAGTAATAAAGAGATAAACGCGCGCCTGCAGATAAAACGAGAAATCATTATTTCTGGCAGCAATTAGGCAAATAGGTAGCAAAAAAATGAAAAGAAATTGAGAAACATGGATACTCATAGAAAATTCCTAACAAGCGCAGTAGACTTTCTAGACGCTAACGTGTTACACTTTCGTTATGTTCCAAGATATTCCATGGCAAACGCATTTGTACAGCAGAGCAATATTCTTTAGTTGAAAATTGCAATAATCTTTTTTGAATAAAGTTATCGATATTTTGATTTTTAAATATAAGCATTTGAGAAAATAGTTACGATAATGTAGAAAGAATTCTGAGTGTAAATTAAAAATTGCATACCGTACATTTCTCTATTTTTTATTTTCATTTCAATTTTAACATGAGGTTTAGGCACAAAGATATTTAACGTTAAATATTAAGTTCTCTAAACAAAGATAATATTTAAAAAATTTTTGCATTCGAAGAGGAGAAAAATGATATGAACATTTTTACATCAAATATTACGATGTGTAAGAATGTAATATTTTTGAAGCAATCTCGAAATTATCCCGATAAGCGGATGTGGCTTATTTATAGCCGCATCTTTCCTTCAGCCATATCTTTCCTCCCCTTGGTACTAAAATCATTAAATTAATCTGAGGAGCAGAAATATATGACGCATCGAATTGCATTACTATATTACGGGGGGATTTAATAACATGACTTTAAGACATACGTGCTTATGTCCCTAAAAAAATATTATAGCATATATTTATAAATAAACATTTGTTCTATATGAAAATAATAATAAATTTAAAAAGATTTTTTTATGTTGATGTATCATTTCTTAACGAATTTTCTAAACTAGACATTACAAACGCGCGCTTCGCGCGTGTTATTTAATTTTTTATTTTTTAATTTTACTAAACAACGCTTAAATGCATACAATTGTATTAGTATATTACAGTTATTACACTATTAATCCCTTGATATGCACAACTGTCATATGCGCCGCTCACAAAATTACGCAGCGAGAGAACCAATTAGCGTAGAGGAAAAGAGATTTCGAGACTTTCGAAAAAATGTCGATATATTCGAGTATCGAAATTTAAAATGCTTTTGGATAGGATAATGAAAAATTTTGTTCCAATCGTTGAATTTTTCCAATTTCAATGAAATCACAAAACAACACAATTCTCTATTAAATTCATTTTGATGTAATGGTATAATGTCGATAACTCATAAAATAACAAAAAAATCTTGTACGCGTATCATGTTATATTTTATATTATATTTTTTTTAATATGTTCAATAGAACATAATTATATGAAGAAGGCATCAAAATCTTAGAGATAATTCAGGAATGTTACATTTTAATATAGTTTTTTATTACGCTATTATTAATGTTTGACGATTAACTTACTTAAAAGAGACCAAGAAAAGCAATAAGATCCGTTTCCAAAAATTTCGCTTATGCTTTGATTCTCCACCTCCGGCACGCTAAAAGGATCTTATCGTCAACTGACATGTCAGTCGCGATCGGAGTGTAATTTCGTTCCGCGGCACACGCGTATCACGTTCAGCGTGTGTCTTCTCTTCGAGAGAGAGAGAGAGAGAGAGAGAGAGAGAGAGAGAAAGAGAGAGAGAGAGAGACCGTTGACCATTATTTACGCCCGCGCGCGAGAGAGTTGCTCATTTTATAAGGTGATAAAGACGAGTCTCTTCAGCACGAAGCTCACTCTCTTCCTCTCGCGCGCGCGGGAATGGCGCGAAGCGGCGCTGAAAGTAGTCCGGGACACGCGAACCGGCATGCAAAACTCGGCTCCGGTACCGAGCGTACCAGCGCATATACACGTATCCGTCGGACGTCGTTGCCGGCGCACTTGCACACCGTAGGAGAGGACCTCTTAAAGTGTATTCATTACGGTGGACGACGCGGCTCTCGTCGTCGACTCTCGCGAACGCGCCGCGCGACGGCAGTCGGTTCTGCTTGTCCCTCGAATGGCTATCATGAAGCCATTAACTTTATTATACCGAGCCATTAACTTAAATATTACGACTCGCGTGTCGCGCAGCTTCGGGCTCTCTGATTTATCGCCCGGGGAAGATCGTGATGTAACCGAAACGCCCGGTGTGTTTTTGTCGCGCCCGCCGCCGCCGCCGCCGCCGCCGCCGCCGTCGCCATCGTGTTTCACCTGTCGGACAATGACGAGGAGAGGAGAGAGATCTAGGTGCTCGGTGTCACGACTTGGCATCGCGCGATTGATTAAGGACGGCCATGTTACGCAATATAGTCGATAAGACCGCCTAGCGTGAATCCAGCGATTGGTTTACTCGCGCGATTCAGATCAGAGGATCTTATCGATTGTCGCGTATAGCTTTGGCCGTGGGAGAAAATTCTTGAGGATCTTAAACTCGGCTGAAACGATGATACCGATCTCAAATTTAAGGCATTTTTCGAGTGTACGATAGGAAAGAGTCGATAAGAAGTAATAAATTAGGTATTATGGCTGTAAAATACAATTAGTATTATAATTCTAATCAGAAGAGAGAGAGGGAGAGAGAGAGAGAGGTCTCTACCGACTAGATTATATCAGACACAGTCAAAGTGAACAAAGAAATGGATATAAGGTACCTGTTCGGAGATGGAGCCCGTAAAAGAAAAAAATGGCAAAAGAGGGTGACATGTTTTGCAGAAGGAGTGGGGTGTCCAGCGCGGTGGGGTTTTTATATGAGAGTCAAGATTCGAAATGAGGATTTACGAGCAGGACGCGAGGGACAACATTGTTTTAAATAAGATGTCTTCAGACTAACCTTTGAATCGTATCTACCTATAACGGTGATCGCTTATACTTGGAAAGAAGATACTACTCTCACATGTAAAGAACACTTCAGGATGAAAGCGGGTGTGGGAAAGAAGTTCGCGCGAAGATCGACAGATAGTTGTAAAAAAGACACGCGTGAGAAAGAAGAAAAATGAAAGAAGAGAATCAAGACGGGGGATAAGGGAGAGATAGAAAGAGGCGCGGCGCGGGAGAAGGATGGTCCCTTAACAAAGAGCGAGAGAGTGATCTTGAAAACAAAGAGAACGATTTAAGAGAGGAAGAAGAGAGGACCGAGGGAGCGAGCCAATGAATATGGCAGAGGAAGGGAAGGGAAGGCGATGGGAAGGGTTTTCCTTTGACCCGTGTCTATGCGGGCCTATAAGTATGTAAATGGTATATTATATTCCAACGCACACGTGTCGGTGTGTGCGCCACTTCGAACGTCGCTTCGTGGACGAGGGAAGAGCGGTAGCGTGTGCGCATGCGCATCAACATCTTCATGAACTTGTTATTATACCAGCAGGATAATCAAAGAGCGGCTCCTATGTGCGGCCACTCGTCGTAGTTAGTGGCCTTTCCTTGTTTCCTCGGCTTTCTTTTCGCCCTTCTGCACGCCACTCTTTCAGCTCGGCCGATCGACTTGCGGCGTATCGTTTTATCGCTGCGGTCCTTCCGCTTGCAATTTACATTCTTGTTACCTTCCCTCTCGGAAGCTTTTTCTTACAGCAAAACTCTTAAAAAGTTGAATCCGCAATTATCACGCTAACGCAATCTCTGCTTTCTTTTCCGTTATATCCGTGTAGAAAAATCTGTAAAATATAAATATTGTGAGAAGGAACCATATGTTTGAAATAAATCTTTAATTATCTTAAGTCATATATATGCTTTTATTCAGATTTATTTCTGCGATAACTGTAGGCTTTTGAGAAGTTTACTATACGTACTATTATATATATTATGAAATTATTAGATATTATTTATGAGTACAAATTTTTGATCATCTAGATACATACAAAAATTGATTGTGCATTCAAGATAATACAATAAAATTTTTTGAAGCAAGAAGTGGAAAGAATAATTTAAGTGGGAAAGTAGCGCAAAGGATTCTATTATTAACGCTAGATGAAGTAGCTAGTTAAACTTGGGATAATCAAGTGCTCGCATATATGGCGTAAATTTTCCAACGGTAGTCTCAGGTCGATGTAGCAATTTAGAAATTCCCCACCTTCAGTTTACATTTATGCACGTTGCTTCAACCACGTCACTTACGTGCCGACATAATAGCAAGACCTGTTTCGGAGAACGGAGCAACTCTCAAACGGAACAACGAAGAAAATCTCAATTCATATAGCATAGTGCAAGAGAAATAACACCATATTATTTAAATTATATAGATACGTTTACGTTTCAGTAAAAATTATCACATTTTTTC